TTCGTGTCCTGCAACCCCCAGGACCAGCACACGGACGCCATCTGCTCCGTCAACTACAACGCCAGCGCCAACATGTACGTGACGGGCAGCAAGGACGGCTGCATCAAACTCTGGGATGGGGTCTCCAACCGCTGCATCACCACCTTTGAGAAGGCACACGATGGAGCTGAAGTCTGCTCTGCTATTTTTTCCAAAAATTCCAAGTATATCTTGTCGAGTGGAAAAGACTCTGTAGCTAAGCTCTGGGAGATATCCACCGGTCGGACACTGGTCAAATACACAGGTATGTGGCAGGTGACCTTCCAAACTCCTTCTTTTTCGGGTATTAACCCATGGCAGGGGTGGAAATACTGTCAGATGAACAGTTAAAGGCAATGAGAGACTGTTGCTTTGAGGATAAATTGTCCTAGATTTTTGAAAATAGATAAACTAATTCCCTGAGAGAAGCTGTGATCCTTCTGTGACAGTGTAAATGTATTTAGTCTGAGTAGATTTTGGAGACTTTTCTGACTTGGCTACTCCTTTTCTTTGGAAGGATGTTATCATTAAATTGGGGAAAAGTAAAAAGAAACACAACCTACTTGTCAGGGCAGTTATTTTAACCGTTAACTCGGGTGCAGAAAAAGGCTCTGTAGCCATGGCAATAGTCTGAAATGTGGCTGCAGTTCGTCTGTTTCTTTTTTTTGCTTATTTTTTTTCCAAGGATGCAGTTGTGTGCGATCCTTGGGGCATGGTGACAGTGCCATGCTTTGATCTCAGCAGGACTTGGGGAATGATGAAGGATGTAGACCTTCGCATGTGGCAGCAGCTGTGTGCTGAGAGAGGCTTTGGTGACAAGCACTAAGTGCTTCAGCAGTAGGAGCCATAGCATAAAAGAGAAGAGGATGCTGAAAGTTGTGTGGCTCAGCTTTTGGGCTGTGTAGGTCCCTTTTTGCACTCCAGCTCTCTGCTGCTCCCAGCCAGCAGGGAGCAGCACCTTCCCAGGAAACATGTGCAGGATCATAGGTAGGACCAGGTCTGTGCAGTGCACAGTAAATGTATGGGAAACACACTTTTTATTGAAGTTATGGCCAGGGAAGCTCATACAACAGGCCATATGATATATACAGCAAAAAGTCCTCAGTGATCATGAGAATCTGTGTGTTCTTCTGTCTGTGCTCTTTCCCCTTGGTTACAGCAGAAAGCCTCATGCGAAAATATGAGGCAAAAGTGCTCTTTAAAGGTAAATGGTTGTGCTCATACTGAGGGGTTGGGCTTGGCACAGCTGGAGTAAGTATTCCTTCCATCCTCTAAGGAATTTTGCAATATATTACATATATATGCATGGACATCAGAAGAATGTCTTCGTGGAAAGGGTGGTCGGGCTGCCAGAGGTGGTGGGGTCCCCATCCCTGGAGGTGTCCACGGAACGAGTGGACGTGGCACTCAGTGCTCTGGGCTGGGGGACAAGGTGGGGATCGGGCACACATTGGACTTGATGATATTTTCCCACCTTTATGATTCTACAAAAGAATATTCATTATTGGTCTCTTGTTACACGTGGAAGTGGTAGGAAAGCAGAGAAAATACGGCTCCTTCGTAGACTGCAGGAATTGATACTTACAAAAAGTTTATTCTTAGGTCATCAGAAACTTCCTAAAATTTAATAATATTTTGCTACATATATTCAGGTGCCGGTTTGAGTGGCCGACAAGTACACAGGACACAAGCTGTCTTCAACCACACAGAAGATTATGTGCTGCTCCCAGATGAAAGGACCATAAGTCTGTGCTGCTGGGATTCCAGAACTGCTGAGCGGAGGAACCTCCTTTCCCTGGGGCACAACAGCATCGTCCGCTGCATCGTCCACTCCCCCACCAATCCCGGCTTCATGACCTGCAGTGACGACTACAGGGCCAGGTTTTGGTACAGGAGGTCAACAACAGACTAAGGACAGCTTTACAAAGAGGGAGGATCCAACTCACACACCACCTTGTGTTGATTGTAGTGCCAGCAGCTGCCTGCGTGGAAACCATGCTGGGTCTGGTCTTTAATTCTGCCAAACGTGGCAGGGAAACAACAAAATACTGAGACTCTTTGCCCTACACTAATTTTTTTATTAGTGTGTGTGGTTTAATTTTTGTAAGTCATCTCTAACTGTACTCAAGGGAGGGGGCTGGAGAATAAAATGATCCTGGCAGGAAGGGCTAAATTTTTTCTCCTGCCTTTCTGTATCACACAAAAGATAATGTGACTGTGTCTTGCTCAAACTGGGCAGAATGAGCCAGTTCAGCTCCGTGTTTTGTCTGTGCAATCCCACTGAAGTCTGTTAATGGATTACACAAGGAGCAGCAGAACTTGGCAGATACTTTAATGAAGCCTTAAGCTGCCTTCAGCCCCAATTCATCCTTTGTAAAGCTCTGGTTTGTATCTTTTAGTCTGGGGGGTTGGTGGATCTTTTTTTTTATTATTTTTTTGAATTGGCCAAGTCGACCTTCAGTTCTGAGCTGTCTTATGCCATAAGAATTCAAACAGGACTTTAAATTGTTTAGATGAATTCAAGAAATGGTCTTCTAGTTCTGGTATTAAAACTCAGACGTTATCTCGTCTTCTCTTGGATTTATCTTAACAAATAGGACCTCATAATAAATTCATCATATTTTCAAGGAATATCCACTTTGCAACTAAAATGTGACAGTATTGCTGCAGTTGAAAATGGGAATTATTTTGCCTTAGAGACCTTTAGTATCCTCTCAAAGCAAGAAACTTGTGCATATGAATTTTTGAATATGTACCTCAGAAATGTCACTGGTTCATTTTGCTGAGAATTTTTCATGCTCTGTTAACACAGCATTGAATGACATTCTTTTTGAATTACTTAAAAACCCAGTGCAGATCATTAAGAGACTGTGCTTAAAACTTCCTGTAAGTTTGAAAATTCACTACTTATTTTCACAAAGAACAGCCTGAGCAGAGTTGTAAACGCGTTTTTTCAGGCCTCCTTTTGCAGGGCTCTTGGGCATCACATCTGGGAGGCTCTTTAGGTCCAAGCTCAGCATTTGCCTTCATGAGGATTTTTCAAATGTAAGATTGTTCTTGCTGCTGGATTAACTTCCCATTACACTGATGAGTTGTTAAGGGCTGATGAGGGTACAGGTTTTGTCTGTATTTAAATAAAAATTGCCTTTTAAAAAGTTCTTTGATACATAAAGAAGGGATTGTGTTTGTTTTCTGTATAACAAGGGAAAAATGGATCAAATATAGAAAGCTGGGTCTTTAGGGACTTGTTCAAGCTTGATGAATTCATTGTGTTACACCTGAACCAGGTACAGCCACAGATTAACAGAGTGGGATGGTGGCTTTAAAAGAGAATGGAATTTAATGTTCTCTTTAAAAGCTCCTGCTGTGCAAAACATTTCCTGGGCTTAACAATCCTCTTCACTCCTCCTCTACCTCCCTTTGAATTTCTGAAACTTCAGAAGCATGGGTGGCAGCAGATAGTGGTTCTGGTGGCTTTTTTGGTGGAGAAACAAGGAGAAGCAGAGCTTGGGGGAGGGAAAAGGGAAGTCCTGACACAGTCACTGATGGGTGGTGTGTGCTGAGTGACAACGGCTCTGCCACCGACAGCACAGTGGCATTTTCATCTGGAGTGTCACCTTTTGTAATTCTGTTAAAGCAGCTGTCCATAACTGATGCATTTGTTTGAAATTTGTTTGTTGAAAGGTTTGCAACCTTTCAAAACACTCCTGTGGTGGGTTGTGTAGTAAAGCACTGCTGGGGGTGTTCATACTGTTAACATGAACTCTCACCTCAAGCTTCCTTAATTATGCAGTCTTGAACTTGAAGTGTAAAAATTCCTCTGTTAACACAAAACCATCCTGCCATGGGCACCCTGCTGGCTTTTCATATCCTGGTCCTGTTCCTGAGGCCAGAGGTTTGGTGGGTTTTGGTCTGAGCAATAAAGGCTGGAAGAAACTTAACTCAGGTTGGACAGGGCTTGGAGCAACCTCGTCTAGTGGGGTGGAATTAGATGGGTTTTAAGGTCCCTTCCAACATAAATCACTCTGTGATTCTTTGAAAAGGTCTTTCCAGTGTGGAAGTCTGGAAGTATCTTGAGTGACCATTCTGGCACGTGGCTCTAGAGATGGTCTTTCCTAAGAGACCACTTCTGGAGTCAGGCATCAGACTTGCTCTTAAAGAGGGAATACTGGTCTGCGATAAACATTTCTCACCTCCTGGACACAGAGGCTGTTTCTACCAGAGCTGCCCTGTGAGAGTGAATCCCAGGAAAAACCAAAGAAGTAAAAGTAGTAAAGGTAATCGTGGTTCAGGTTGGGAAATTCTCGGTGTGGCTGTGGGGGACCCTTCAGATGTGCTGCAGTGCTACTGCTCTGCTCCCTCAGCAGGACACTGGGGCAGGAGCTGTGGATTTCCCAGGCCTGTTGGAGCTGTGGTGCAAACAGGAGGATCAGCATCCACCCAGGTGGGGCTGGGAACACACTCAGCTTCCCCAAAGCCCCTTCATGGCCAAAAACTGCCAGTGTGACGAAAGCGGAAACTACTTCGAAAGCCATGAAAACTGTTTGCCTCAAAATCCTGGATTTGCACCACTGTGGCAGCCGTGTTCTTATCAAGCCCTGTGCAGCTCCCTGTGGTACCACTGCCTGATATTCATTGTGTTGCTAAAAGAGGAAACACAGGAACATGTAGCAAAAGAGGGGTGAGACTTCCCACTGCGGTTAATTGCGACAAGTTAGTGACAAATAGACCAAGGAAAATTCCACTTGCAGACAGACTTTTTTTCTCACTTCTGGTCACCAGTTGGGTTTTTCTGGTTTGTGTTTTGTCCTGTTTTTATCTCCTCTGTTGTCACAGAAATTATCTTTCATAAGAATCTTTTCACCGAGCTCCTGAGTGCTGTTGGGGGCAGAGCTGTCAGATGGGCTTCCCTGAGGCGCAGTTCCAGAACATGGCGCCTGTGCAAGGCTGAATTCTCTTCATCCTGCTGCAAGTCTCTCTATTGCTCAAGTGGTGCTGCTGGGGAACGACAACAATGGATAAAAACATAGGGGTCAACAGAACTGCAAAGGTATGTCTGGTTTTTTGAGTACTGCATGTGAACGAGTGAGAAACGGGGGCCCAAGGGAAGGGTTTGATGTTTGAATTCAGTGATGATGTTGGAAGTAGCACTGGTGAGGCCGCACCTCCAGTTCTGGGTCCCAGAAATGGCCACAAGCTGCAACAGGGGAGGTTCAGGTTGGACATCAGGAGGAATTAGTCACGGAAAGGGTGGTCGGGGTTGGCAGGGGCAGCCCAGGGAGGGGGTAGAGGTGTCCAAGGAATGACAGGACGTGGCACTAAGTGCTCGGGGGAGTGACAAGGTGGGGATCAGGCACAGGTTGGACTCAGTGGTCTGGGAGGGCTTTTCCAACCTTAATGATTCTGTGACCCTGTGAAGTGTTTGGATTTCTCATCTTAAGGGGACAGAAGGCTCTTACAATGCTCACGTACCTGATGTCACCCTGTGCTTTTCACTGTGACAGAATTATTGACTGGCAGAAAGGTTTTCTTGGGGAGGATTCTGAATAAAGCAGGATTCCTAAATAACACATACATCTAATAACCACATTTGTGAAATTACAAATATACAACTTGAAGGTTCCACCTGTCTTACTGCTATCCTGTAGTGACATTACAGACATGGTTACATTGTCAGAGGCTTTCAGTGACAGTCCAGGTGACCTGTTTCGTGACAGATTTCTCTACATTACGAGCAAAACAGAAAACATTTTGAAGCACTATTCTTTTTTATTTTGAAAGACTAGAACTAGTTTATACAGGGTTTTTTATGTTTGTGTATTCATACTACATCTGGTTTAATTTTATATATATACATAGCTAAAATGCCCTGCTGCAGCTGTAAGGGTTAGAGAATGCTGAAGTCTTGATTCCAAGTCAGTGCCTTCATTGTCCTGCTGTCTGCAAGTCTAATAGGCAGTGTTATGAAATTATGATTTTCATGCTGGATTGTGATCTCAGTGTTTGCTGTAAATAAGCTGCCTCCTGGAAATTTCATAGAAAATTTAATGTGTGGGGGGAAAACTTAGTATGAGCTCAATTTTCCATTGAGGCGTGTAAAGATTAGGGGGCTATTTTTCACGTTGAGTCACAGTAAGTGAGGCAGGACATTTTTCATCTCTGTACATAGAAATTTTCTATTCCTAGGTTTAATATTTACCATTTTCTTAAAATGGATTGTCAGTGGTAAATAAATGTAATGGTAACAAACTGATTCCCTGTTCTGCTGTGAGCTCTTTAGACAGGGCCATAGCACACCCAGTCAACTTCAGCTGAGTAATAACTGAAAAAGTCAAACTTATTTCTGTTATATCATTTATGAACTGTTTATAAGGTTCCTACTACCCTGGCAGTACTGTTTATTATAATATTTGAATATTATGCTTCATACAAAAACATTAAGGGGTTTTTTTCTATTATCTGAACTCCTTGAAGCACCAACCCTGAGCAGTGTTCTTGTGATGGCAACATTTTGCGATTATTCCTGTGCCCCAGCTACTCCACCTTCTAAAAATGAATTCAGCCTGTGAGTGCAGCCAGAAAATGTAGTTATTTTTTGTTGTTATGCACCCCATGTGGCACAGGCTGCACAGGAAGCGTTGCACCCCTTGGTGCAGCTTCAAACACTGCGAGCACGACGGGCTGCTCACGAAATAGTGCTCCTGCTGCTTGACAACACTGGCTGTGCTGCTGCCAGAGGACAAACAGAGCGTTTGAAACACACATTTAGTGGATATCAGGTTTGTCTCTCTTAAAATATGCACTTCACATCTTCCTATCTCATCCATAAATGTGAGGAATGTCATGGATTCTCTGTCTCTCTGCTCTTCTCTGGTGAGGCCCCACCTGCAGAGCTGCCTCCAGCTCTGGGGTCCCCAACATAAGGACATGGAGCTGTTGGAGCGAGTCCAGAGGAGGCACCAGGATGATCAGAGGGATGGAGCAGCTCTGCTGGGAGGAAAGGCTGGGAGAGTTGGGATTGATCAGCCTGGAGAGGAGAAGCTTTGGGGTGACCTGACTGTGGCCTTCCAGTGCCTGGAGGAGCTACAGGAAAGATGGAGAGAGACTATTTACAGGGGCCTGGAGGGACAGGACAAGGGGGAATGGCTTCAAATTGACAAGGAGTAAGGTTAGATTGGATATTAAGAAGAAAGTGTTTCCTGTGAGGGTGGGGAGGCCCTGGCACAGGTTGCCCAGAGAAGCTGTGGCTGCCCCATCCCTGGAAGTGTCCAAGGCCAGTTTGGATAGGGCTTGGAGCAACCTGGGCTAGTGGAAGGTGTCCCTGCCCATGGCAGGGATTGGAATGAGATGATCTTTAAGGTTCCTTCCTACCCAACCCATTTGTGACTCTGATTTGTTCTGTGGGTCCCTCTGCCCCTGGGCATGTGTTCACCTGCAGCCTCAGGGCTCTGCTGTCACCCCCAAGTGTCCATCTCAAACACCCAGGAGCAAATAATATGTTTCAAAATAGAATTTGCCAGAGTTGATATACTGAGCAAAGAGTTACTTCAATAGCCAAGAGGAAATATTAGAGAAAATGGTGAAATCTCTGCTTTCCTGGGCTTCAGACTGTAATATTTGGGCTATTGCCAGGGATGGAAGTATGCTCAATGCCCAGCTTTCCTGGGGAATTCTTAAAGGTGAAACTTTAGTTGTCGTGCACAAAACAGTCTTGACCCAGGGAATTTTCACCTCATGTAATTTAATGCCCGTTAACACAAACTTCTGATTTGGGTGATTGAGAAAGAATAAACCACGAACAATTAAGGAAGCACTTGAGTAAACACCTTTCCTCCCCCTTCCTGGTCTCAACTTGCCTTATTTTTTTGGGGCAGAGGGAGTACCCTCAGTCCACCCCAGGTCCTTCACAGAGGTTTCTGGGATTCGTTCAAGAGAACATTTGGTTGCATTTGAAAGTAGTTTTGTGGCCACAGATTGCGGCTTTGTTGTTTGTACTCTCCATCATTACAAAGGCTGGAACACCTTTAAAATTCCAGGGTAGCAGCTGAATGGCTCTTTATCATATGCGTGGAGTTTGTGAAGGAGCAAAACTTCTGGTTTTAATATCAAAAAAAAAAAAAAAGAAAGAAAGAAAGAAAAGAAAAACCCCAATGACATTCAAATGGGCTACTTTGTACCAGGAATTCTTTCTCCTTTGGGCAGCTGTGTCAGCTGGTGCCCTGCTCCCAGCCCAGAGGTGTAGATTTTGTTGAGAAAGCATTTTCAATTCAGCATTTTCTATTCAAGATGCAAAAGTCTTTTCTGGTGAAGTGATTGTGGCTTTGGGAGCAAGGGTCTAATTTCATCTTGAAGCTGCCATGGAAAGAGGAAGGAAAAGGCTTTTGCCAGAGAAAAAGCAGCATGTACAAATGCAAACCCAGAAAAAGTTTGCAAACACCAAGATATTCCCAAGCCCAAAGTGGTAAAACCTGCGCATTTGCATAAGCACGACCTGGGCTGAACTGCTGCTGAGCAAACAGCAACCACGAATAATTTTAAATAACACTATAGTTTAATAATACGAAATGATTTTTTTAAATAATCAGAGGAATAAAACCCTTCAGCTGCAGGACATGTTTAGCCTTCCTCCTGGGGTTTTCTGCCTATGCAGAGTGAGGTTGCCTTGCAGGGTTTTCCATAAGCACAAAAGGGACCTGCTAAGTTTTCTAGAGATCCGAACAGGAAAATTTCGAAGTGTATCAAGTCTCAAACCACTTTTAAGTTAAAAACAAAACAAAACAAAACCCACACCACCACCACAATCCAGGAGTAAAAATACTGCTGCAAAAATGCTTCCAAATCCAATCCTTTTTTCTGGTGCAGCCTTGCTGCCCTAGGTTTTCTCTTCAGAGCAGGGAAGGCACTTCCCGGGGGTGTCTGCAGGAAGGATGTCTGTGTGTCCTGCACCATCCCCAGCTGCAGCCCAGTGGCTCCCTGCAGATAATTCTGCTACATAATGAGCTCCCTCCATTCCCCAGAGCCCCTTTCCTGGGGCTCCCAGTGAGCAGGAGGTGCCAGAGGCTGAGCCTTCCCTCTCCAGGCTTCCAGCCAGACCCTCCAGTGCTGCCTGAGCCACTGACCGGGCTGGGGGAGATCATCCTCCTCCTCAGGTGATGGACTAGCAGGGAAATAAGAGGCAACAAAATGAAGGTTAATGTAAGTACTGGACTCTTTTCTTTCTGTTGCAGTTAATTTAATGACTTTACTGATTTCATTTGTAGTGTAAAATCTGCATCTGGCAGGGTCCCTTTGTGCATGTGCTCATCCGATTTGCACATCACTAACGGAGCATGTGGGCTTAATTTTTAAAATATAATCCAAGCTAAGCTGAAAAAAAAATGCTTTATCAAGGACAATATGGCTAAGGAGGATAAAGGTTTGTACCGTGCATAATATGCCTTATTAAAAAGCTATTCTGAATGACCCTGACTGGCCATTTCCCTATTTTCTTGGAAACAAGGAGGTTGAATGATTAACGCTTGAGCTGGACTACATCTCAAAAAAAGATGATGTTTATTGCACTGATTCCTAGAAAAGAAGTAATGGAAATGTTTCAACAACCTGAGTCATGCTGTGATGAGAAAAATGTCATGTAATTTCAATATGAGTTATGTGAGCCTGGGAAAGCCTGTGCTCTCTAGGATAATGACTGGCCACGTCCTGCAGTGCTGCTTGCAAGGAGAACTGAAGCTCAAGAGAGGAAAGGAGCGGTGGCAGTGCTCATTTTTAGGAAATACTGTTCTCCCTGGGAGGAGGGGGGACGGATCAAACCCATTTTGCAGTCGTATGTCAGTGTTCTTGCCCAGACCCCCCACAGCAGAGGGACCCCCAGCCTTGGCTTTGTGCTTTGGCTGTCACACCACTGAATCACTCTCCGTGTCACAGCTGATCTCTGGCAGCTGTGGCTCGGGAAGGGTCTGCGCTGTCACCATGTGTCCCCTGCTAATGACAGGGAAAGGGGAACGTCCAGCTGCCACCCGGGAGCGGCGACGGACACCAGTGATTAGGGCA